TGTAGCTATTTGCTTTTTCCTAAGCCTTCTGGGAAGGTCAACCTTCCTTCTTGTCCTGTTCCTCTCCATTCACACTGAGTTAATTAAATGCAAGCTACTTTCAGACTTTGAATATAGTTTGCAACAATTGGAATAAGCTGAAGAGGGAAGGTGGGAGAAGGAGAGGGAAATCAAGACATTTTAAAAGTAGCTGAAAAAATGGGATGAGGGAGGATTAATCACCAGACAACTTTGGTGGACCTTCTCACACAATTTTTAGTGTTTGACTCAGATACCCCTCAGGGGGGTAATGGCACCCTGTTTTTGGCCTCTTCTGAGCCATTTTTGGAACCATTACATCTTTTTGTTCCATCAAGAAATGACCCAAAAACTGACTTGTAAAACTCCATCCAAAACAAGATAAATACATGTATCTGGCCAAGTTATGCACACCTATGTCACCAACAGGATTCTAGCCTAGACATGGAGAAAGTAACTTCTCCAATACCTTTCTCAGAAATTGCTTGTGCACACCATAGACTGAGACTCATTACCTCTATGACGTCGATTCACAATTTAATAATTGTTTCAATGGGTCGAGACTAGGAATCAGACCACCGTTTGGGAATATATATCTCAGTTTCCCCTGAGCAGCATAATTATATGTGAGGGGAGGGTAGATGGAGTCCAAATGTGGTCACCGAAAAAGTCACCCTTCAAAGCTCAGAAATTCTGAGACATCCCCTCTTGCACCCAACTGTAAAGCCCACCTCCCTTCTCCACATCTCCTCTAACTTCTGCTTCCAAGGAAGGTCACAAAGACAAGGGTGGCTCATTGTCTGTGGCTTTATTGCCCCATGGAGGGGATGGTTACAAGCCCAAGATGTTGTCGCATTAGGGAGTGTGGTTCCCTAGATGTTCCCCTCCCTCCCCAGGTACCGGCCAAAGGGCTGGCGGAAAGACTGGCCTTCCTCCTTCCTCCTCTTCCTCCTCCTCCTGCCATCCCTGGCCAGTGGCCAGAGTAGGCGCTCACTGGAACCGCTCCCGGAAGGAGGTCCAGAGGCTGCTGAGATGATTCTGGAAGTTTTCGGCCAGAGGGACCAGCTTCTGCTGGAGGTCTTCCGCATAGGGGTGCAAGTTGTGCCGGACATGCTGCACCCCTTGACTGAGGCTGCCTTGGAGCTGTTGCGCCAGTGGTTCCACCCCTTGCCGGAACTCCTCCACCTGCTGCTGGATTTTGGTCTTCATGTCTTCAGCCAGAGGTCCCAGCTGGGCCTGGAGCTCCTCCACGTTCTGCTGGAGGTTCTGCTTCAGCTCCTCCGTGCCGGTGACCAGGGCCCGGCGCAGGGTCTCCGTGTGTTGCTCGGCCTGTTGCAGCAGATCCTCGGCGAAAGGGGCCAAATGCTCTTGCAGCTTGCTGACCCCACCTTGCATCTTCTGGTTCAGGTCATCGGCGAAAGGCTGGACTTTCTGGTTCACCTGCTGGAGGTCCGCGATGAACTTCTGCAGGAGGTCCTGGGCCACCGGAGGAAGCTGTTTCTGCAGCTCGGCCTGGTAGTTTCGGGCGCTGTTGATGCTGTCGGTGATACGGGTGCTGCGGAGACAGAGCGGCGGACCTCAGGAGAAGCAAAACACATGGGGAGCCACATGCCAAGGGATGTCATTAGTGGGGTGCATGGGAAGGCTCTCACCCTTGGATGTCATCTCTCATTATTACACACCTTTATTACACTACCAGGTGACACCCCAGTGCTCTGAAACTATAGGATGCTCTGAAATTATCATATGGAAAAGTATATGGGTATGAATGCTTGCTCCTTTTCTTGTGTGCCAGTTTTTTTGGGTCGTGGCACCTATTTACTGCACTTAAATAAATAATTTGATTCTCTTCCCTCCAGTGTGAAAAATTGGCTTACTTGCACCAGGGAAAGGATATATCAGATATCAAGGATTTAAAAACAGCCCTACAGTGTGATATTCTAACAAGTAGGGTTTCAGGCTGCTTCCACATGGCAGAATTAAAGCAGTTTGACGCTGCTTTAACTGCCATGGCTCCTTCCTTTGGAAGCCTGGGATCTGTAGTTGGTTGTGGCCCCAGAGCTCTCTGACAGAGAAGGCTAAATAACTTGCAAAACCACAAATCCCAGAACTCCGTAGCATGGAGCCACGGTAGTTAAAGCAGTGTCGAACTGGATTATTTCTGCAGTGCAGATGCAGCCCAGTAGGTTTAACGTAAAGTCTAGAAATAATGAAGGGGTGGGAGGAAGATTTATCTCCCATGCTTGTATCTGATGACCATCAGATTTCCTATCAATGAGGTCAGTATGACTTTTTGGGGCACAGTGTTGGGACAAAGCATGCTCCAGGTCAGTACAACCTGTGCTTTGGAGGATGAGGAAAGATCCTGGTGCCATGAAGTCACTTTCCACCAAACCAGCTTGGCTCACTTACTTGAACTCCTTGCCCAGCTCGGAGTTGCGGATCGACTCTAAGTTGTCTGACGTCGTTTTGGAAATCTTGTCGATGTATTCCCGAATGGTGTCATGGATCTGCTCCAGACGGGGGCGGCGGGGCTCATCGCTTAGAAAAGAGGCGTAGGAGCCTACGGGAAGAAAAATAAAGTTATATGTGTGTAGAAACAACAACAACACTTTTCTGATCAAGAGAAATTAGAGCCTGCTTTGGTTAGCAGGAGCATGGTCTAATGTCTGCTGCCACACTGCAGAATTAATGCAGCTTGACACCGCTTTAACTACCATATGGCCCCATGCTAAGGAATCCTGGGATTTGCAGCTTGTTGTGGCACCAGAGCTCTCTGACAGGGAAGGATAAATAAACCACAAATCCCAAAATTCCATAGCATTCAGCCATGGCAGTCAAAACGGTGTCAAACTGGATTATTCCTGCGGTGCGGATGCAGTCTAAGTCTGTAATCCCCGATTTTTCATCGGAATGTATTTGTCTGATTGTTTAGTTTAAAATAATCTCACTGGGAGGCCATCCGCACTGCAGAAATAATCCAGTTTGACACCACTTTAGCTGCCATATGTTATGGAATCCTGGGAATTGTAGTTTGTTGTGGCACCAGAGCTCTCGGACAGAGAAGGCTAAAGACCTCACAAAACAACAAATCCCAGGATTTCGTAGCATTGAGCCATGGCAGTTAAAGCATTCTCAAACTGCATTATGTCTGTCTATGTTTTCGGTGTATTTAAATTATTGCTGTTTATACCCGGCTAGTTTATTTTAGTTTATTCTTGTTTAGTTTATTTAATTTGTCCTATTTCCTTGATTTTATTTATGCTCTGATTGTACTGATTTTACTGATTGTATTTTGTACACTATTTCATATTTTATTGTATAATCCCACCTCCGTAGGGAGAGGCAGGAAATATAAATAAAAACTATTATTATTATTA